AAAGACAAAGACAAATAAAAAGAGACACCATACATTCTCCCCCTGCAGACATACCTGAATTTGGATCAAGGACGGATCCAGCATGAATGACTAGGAGCAGGACAGTGTTGGAGCAGGGGCCTGGCTGGTGAGAGGGGGAGTGGGACGGGGATGATGGCGCTGAGGCCTCCATGCTGCGACCCAGAACCCGACTGCGCTCAGCAGCCACCCTTGACATAAAGGACTGGGAGAAGATACTGTCTGCTGGTAGAAATAAAAGATTCATTAAAATTTTTGGTTACAGGAATATTTGTGCAAAACCAATTCAACAATAAAATAATAAATCTGTATATCTATACAGAACATAGATCTCCAACTTTTCCTAATCTTTTAAAAATCAAGTAAATATCTAAATCTTTAAAAATTCACACAAAACTAAAAAAAACATTTACCTTCATTTCCCGGCTGGCTGATGGTAGACTGAGTATCACTGTCTTGAGGCAAAAGCTCTAATGAACTCCACTTGTGTAATGCAGCTGTCTCCTCCAGGTCTTCTGCTCAGGTAAATTGTAACTTGTATCAAAACTAAAGGTAGTGAATCTACAGGGACAATACAACTAGAGTGACAATGACCGTTAAACCATTACTGGACATCAAAGAACACACTGGCCACAATAGTATAGGTTGTTTGTTAAGTAAATGGTTAATGATTACATTAGTAAATGCATGCAAAAAATTGATTCCAATTAATGATAGGGAAACAAGTATATTTGTTAAAATATGAGTGGAAGTAAACCACAGATATCTACCTTTACAATAGGTAAAAATGTGATACACTAAAACAATCCTCCACATTTTAAAACAAATGACAGAAAGTATACAGAGGTATAACAATTCTACTGGCTCTGAAATACGCCCTGAACATTTCAGAGGTATAGTCAAGATACTAAAATTTCCAAATACAATTCTTGCTAGGTATAAAACTCAGGAGAACAAATATATGCTAATGTGCATTATTTATGTTATATAAAGTGGAGCTTCAGCCTATATTACCATTGTGGCAATAATATACAATTGTTAATGTTTCTATATACAGTATATTCTACACTATACACAATTTACGTGTATAACTGCATATGCATATCTGTAAAATTTTGCATATGTAATCTATATACATATACAAGTGTTAACAAATAAATACACATGGTTATTTTGGCAATGCAATCCATATATAAACATACAAATCATCAACAAAGGTGAAT